CTGGTCCTGATAAGGTCAGCGTTTATGCTGGAAAAAGGTTGCACACATTCTCTAGTCACCAAACAACTGTATGGTAAAAGCGAACCATTGTTTTTTAGTATTCTGGAGCACATTAATACTGAAGTAAAGGGTTTGGGAGAATGAGTTGCGCTGGGAGCAGACGACTGTATGACGAAATCCATCACACTAGGAGAAAAACAAACAATGAGACCTCATTTTTAGAGCATCTTTGGTTTAATGTGGACATTAGCCATTGCAACATGGCAGACGATAATAAAAGAGGTCAAATTTAAAGATGGTCAAAAGTACTTCCTATGTGACCCTGACTGGAGCTCTTACTTCCATCCCACACATCTCTCTGGGAGCTGTCAGTTAAGCACAGCATGTACATTCCAGCACAGACAGGGATTAAGAACTGATCAGCCACAAGTAACTGAAAACACTTGTTTGGTAGAATTAGGCTTTTAATAATTTGTTCCATGTTACATTAAATCTCTCTCAAACTGGCAGATAAACTAGTTTCTGTGACTTGACACATTAAAGGTCCGAGCTATGTGTGTGGAGCATGCTGAAGGCAGGACATGAGGTACAAATAACTCCTGCAGATTTGACTTGCAACACTCTGACCACATGTACAACACATAGCTCTGTCAGGGAGAACCTGGTGATGCTGGACATGTGTTGCTCCCCTGCAGGAGAGAGAACCAAGCCTCCCTTCAGTGACTGAGCCTCAACGCTCCATCATGATCATCACACAACCTAATTGGTGAAGGCAATGAGTAATCTCAACAAGGAAGATTTATTAAGCTGTCAAACTCGTACTGTTTTCTGCAACAGCGTGATAACAGATCATAGCTCTCCAAAACAGCTAAATCCAGCTATAAACTGTGCTTTTTGATGTGTGGCTAAAACGTCCAGATGTTCTGACTTACTCAATCCACAGTTTGCACTGTGTTCAAGATATAGTGAGATAACCACTGACTGGCTGAAAGGAGAGAGAGCAAGAAAGAGAGAGATGAAGGGAAAAGGGATATAAAGCAGTCGGGATATATTTATACGGTGGCACTGAGGAACAAAACACGGGATTTTCACAAAACTCAACATCCTCCATCTTATTGACTTCAAACTTGGCGGGTGGGTTTTCTGAGGACTGTAGTAATTGCAGTGTTGACTGAGAAGATATATAGAAAAGCTCCTGTGAACCCATTACCCCCATTTTCGTTTTGTAATAATGGCAAACACCAAAAGGCGCATTTGGAACGGGCACACAACATTAGTACAAGTTCAACAAAGCACAATGATATTTCATAGAAAGCAACATTTTAAAAGCTACGAGGACATTTCACAAAACACAAGTCAAACACAAGTCAGTGAACAAACCTTTGAATTGGCTACAACCCGTGTTTGTATTTTCTTTAACCAGAAACACATGGATGCAAAGTCTTGCTTGGATATCGGCAGCAGGACAGTGATTTTTTTGTGTAGGACTTACAGAAAATGTGGTTGGTACTACATTTCATTCCTGTATGTAAAAAAATAGAAAGAAAATGAAGAGAATCCTTTTAAGCTTTGCCTTTAGCCTTTAAAGGGATAGTTCACCAAGAAACTAAAATTCACTCATTGTCTACAGATGGAGGGGTGGGTGAAGTGTTTGAGATCACAAAACCCAAGTGTTCCGTGGCTTTAACACTTCTCCACCCCTCCATCGGCATAGCGGTGAGTAGATAATGAGTGAATTTTCATTTTTCAGTGAGCTATCCCTTTAATCTTACCCAGTCCTCTCAGTGTTGTGTGCACCCCAGAATTTTATCAGTTCTATTTTCAACAATGGTGTCAGTTTATGTGATGTCGCAAATTGAAGTATTTTCAATATCTGCGATTAAAGAAGTGAAATTGTTTTTTTTTCTCTGGCCAACATCAGATGACCCCCACACACTTGTGTAAGACCTTGAGGAAGTGAAATTTTCAACTTTGAACGAGAAGCTCAGAAAGAGAGAGGCACGTTCACAGGAAGGCGGCCATATCCTCCACTTTTTAATTAATCAGAGTGTCTTGCAGAAGGAAATTATCAGCAAGATTTCAGGAGGAAAGGAAGGATGAGGCAATCGGTGTGTCAACAGAAGTGGCCACCGCACCGTATCTGTGAGGTTTACCACATGTGGTTTATTTGAAATCATATGAACATGACTCATTGACTTAGGTCATACAACTGCATGAGAATAGGAGCTGGGTTAAACAGGGTTATACGCTCGTAATGTCATCATTTCTGCCATAATCGTTATTTAACAAAATCAATGCTGCATAATTTTCATTTTTTCTTTCACCTTTAACATTAAACATCTGCTGTAGAATGAGTTCAAAGAACCCATGTGACCCAGTCTGATGATCACAACAGACTCGGCCCCTTCACTACATTTTGTGATCTAAATTGATGTTGGTTCCTTTTGGAACATTCTTTTTCTATCTATATGGAAATATTTCAAGAGTGAAATCAAAACAAAATGTTATTTAATATTGTGGACCAACATCAAGTCAAGACAAATTTTATTTATATAGGCCATCACAAGTAATCCTGCAGGGCTTACAAATCAGTGAGACATTACAACCTCCTCTTGTCCTTGACCCTTGAATGAGACAATTCAAAACTCCTTCAAAGAATAACTTGAATCGGAGAGAAACCAGAGGAGGGATCCCTCTTCCAATGCAGGCAGAAATGCAATCGATGCTAGAGTAGATTTACGGATGCACAATTGGGATAAAACATTATAGCTTGCATACATGAAAGAAGAATGCAGTCTGGGCGTACAGCAAGCAGCTTCCACGTGCCGCCACGGGCCTGAGCCACATGGCCACCTCTCCACTGTGGGCCCCATGAGGGAGGACAGACAAAACCCATCATTCACATGTCGAGGGGAACAAAACAAACACCAAGATGAGAGAGGGGGAGAGACAAGGAGGACACTCATGTGCTTAAGGGGACAGAGTGAGTTAGTGAGAAGCTGCGGTCATCAGTTATCAGTTTACGGGAACCACGTCCACAGGATAACATTCACTGAAACTTAAAATTAGAATAGTAACAGGTACCAGGCTGGAATAGTGAAAGAATAAGCTCCTAACTGAAAGTTAAAACATAAAGATGTGATTTAAGTTTGATTTAATGAAGTGAGATAGGCTGATGTGACCAGGGAGGTTGTTCCAGAGGAAGCGGGCATGACAGGGAAATGCCCGGCAGCCTGCTAAACTCTTTTTTTATTTTTGTTATTAACTCTATGGACAGACAGGAGCCCTGTTTTATGACCTCAAAGAGCAGCATCCTAACATGCTTTTAATGTGCAGTCATTGCAGAATGACGCCCCCTGCTGATACTGCTTTTCAATACTGAGTCAAATAGTGTCCATTCCCTCTGATATTATAATCAATGCATGGTAGAATATTTGCTGTTTGGATTCAGCAAAACAATAAATAAAATGTATTTTTTCAGAGCGAGATCCGTATGCCAAGGTCTAGGAGGGTTAAATGCATTTCTAATTATGCTTTTAAAAGTTGTACAACTGTTAAATGATAATGGAGTTCGGTATACAGCGCTAATATTGGTGACAATGATGACCTTACACTTGCAAGTTCAGCCTCTGCTCCAGATGTCTCTCCCTGTAACACACTTATTAGTGTGGACGCCTGTCGTAAAAATAAATGTCAAGGGCTTGTCTCCACTCATCCATCCTCCTCCTCTCTTCTCTCTCTATCTCTCTCTCTCTCTCTCTCTCTNCCTCTCTTCTCTCTCTCTCTCTCTCTCTCTCTCTCTCTCTCTCTCTCTCTCTCTCTCTCTCTCTCTCTCCACATACCTGCTCCGCAAACCGACCAATCCGACCGTGCGTAAAAACTCCACCGGTCAAACATCCAAAACTGCTAACAACCTAAAGGCACTTTCACCGTGCATGCTTGTAAAAAAGTTTTTTTTTTACAGTGTCACTGGATCAAAAGTTAGACACATCCTCTTCTGAAAGAGAAATAACTCCTCCTGCTGTGAAACGCCAGAAAAAACAAAGCATCCTTTACTTTACTCTTCTTTTTTTTTTTAACAGAACTGATCAGTAAAGTAAATCTGTCCATCATTGTACTGGAACATGTTGTATAGGCTGAAAGGATCTGGCGCGTCAGAGGTGAGGTGGGTGACAGTGCGCGCTGTCCTTTCAGCACCAAGGTTTCTACTTCACGCTCGGTCACAAAAGTCAGGATGTTCAGCCATGTAATGAAAAGCCAAGTCATTACAAGAAAGAATATGTAACGATCAGATAAAGGGGAAAAGAAAAAGTGAGAAAAATTCATTAACAAAGAAACGAAACTTTTGTGGGGGTCTTTGCTGCAATTAAATTATAAGTTTAAGGGCTGCCTTAGCTTTTATTGCTCATAAATCTAAAGCACAGGGTTGCTTCTACTTTCACAGTAAAGTCAACTAAAGCCCCATAAATCAGCATAATTTGAGGGAGGGGGCCAGGGGGCAAGGGAGCCAATTGCACGATCTGACTTAAAGAAAGCTGTACTAACCACAGTAGACTAGTGCAGGACTAATCTCCAGTGAGAAGAAAAACCTCAACTATGTTGTGCAGTCGGAGGCTCTGACCAGAAAACTGTGGAGTTATAATTATACTGATGATGCTTTAAGATTTTCAAAGAATCTTCATTAAACGCTGCGGAGTTGGGTTTCAATTCCCCAGAGGGGCGTAAAACGCGCAATGGCTCTAAATGGGGTAAAGAGAATCACAAACGGGTCCGGGGAGTATTTCCGCTAAGATGTCTGTATCTACTTGGCTCATTGGAAATTTCAGTGGAAGTATTAGTAGGAAAGGGAGGCTTCCTGTAACCGCGTATCACACAGATAAATGGAGACGCAAAAAGGAGGGGGACGCAGAAAAGTACGCGCAGCGCTGAAGTGATGATCAGTCAACTCAAGTGGACTTTGTGGAGTGCCAGTTGTGCGTCATATTCTTATTGCAGATACGGCGGAGTAACCCGCGACTGAAAGGTCACCGCCGCTGCGAGACAGAATAAAAACCGAGCGTTCCTTCAGGGAGACCCGATCTACTGCTCCGGCAAGGACGCACAAGGGACGCACACAGGACGCACGGGGTCCAGTGGATCGTTCCTCTTACTCTTTCTCACTCTTGAATCCACCGGTGTTCAGAGGATGGCCACGGATGCTCAGCTTTTACTCGCATGACTTCAGAAGCTTTGATATATGTATTTCCAATATAAGAGCAGACTTCAAGAGGACATATTTCGGACCGGACAGAAGCAGGAACCTACACGCCAAAGTTACGCACGGTTCTTTATTTCCATTTTCATCCTTGCTGGACGCACGGGACTTTTGAGCCGCATTTGAGGAGGTTTTATAGTTGTGAAGGTAAAAGTCTACACTTTCATTAAGCTGTCATACATTACACTTCACTCTCATATAAAAACAATTTGCTCTTACAAATATATTGCTGCTGATTCTCCGAGAGACTTGCTTTGCTGCGATCTAATGTAAATTATCTTCAGGTGGCTGCAAAAGAAATTTAGGTCACCAAGGCACCACAGCTCACGACCAAACACGATGTTGTGGCCAAAACTTTGGCGTAGCCATGGCTTCAGCACAATGTGCCAAACTTTTCCATTACATCCCATGTGGGATGTTTGATGTATGGACAGAGGCTCCTTCGGGGTATCGTTAACTTCAGAGTTATTGCGCAAACTGGATCTACTGAGACTCCGTGTTTTGTACGTTGCCAACGTAGTTTTTTCTGAATCAAACTCGAGGTTAAACTGAGCAATGTGTTCGTTAATCGTGGTGGTCCGCAGTCAAAGTCAGATCTTAGTTTTTATTATGTCCTAACAATATGTGGGCAATTAAATTCCCTCCTCGCTGCGCTCTCAGTGGGTTTAATGGGTTACATAAAGGTAGATTATATGAGAAACATTTTGGTTTGACAAGTCTCCTCCATCTCTCCTGCAGGTGTCCGGTTTGACTTTTTATTCTCCCCAGAGGCGCTGGATAAGGAGTTTATTTTTCCTCCTCTTTGTTTTCTCAACTCCTCGGGAGCTATGAACGGACTGCGCAAGCACCTCACTATGGGACTGTTGCTAGTGATGTGCACGCTTACCGGCCACTGCGGCCGGAGCGCGCCCTCGATGGCCGCGCGGTCGGCCACAGCCAGTGGCGGCGAGGCGCGTCTGGACTTGAGGCGGATGGTGGAGGTCATGAAACACGTGGAGGAGAGTCGGAGTCGACACAGCGCGAAAACGGAATCCCCGTTAACGTCGCGGGCGCACACGTCCCCGGTGGAGCCAAAGGATTTACGCAACTTGAAAACAGACAGAGGCGCTCAGGCTGTCGGTGAGTGGCTCGTCGTCTGGGCGGGACCCTTATGTTGGATCACAAGAGGATGCTGCTGGATGGATGATGGATGATACTGGAATATGTTTCATGGTGCAAAGACACTGGAAGTCACAAGGGATTGAGTTAAAGGGTTGTTGCACCCAAAATAACCAATAAGATCTCCCCACCTCCAGTATTATCACCATGATTATATGTGATTGGAGTTGAGATTTTCTGTTTTAATTTAGGTGGAATGACCCTTTAATGATTTTCTGGCTTCTTCAGAAGTTGATGTTGTGGCTGTTAAATGAGAAAGTCAATCTTTATAGTTCTTCTAATGAAATGCATGTCTTCTAAACTTTAAAATGCAGCTGCATTGTTGCAAACCTGACACTGCTTCCCCGTCTGTTCTCTTTCCACAGTTGTATTCCCTAGGGATCTCAGAAAGAAGGAGAAATTCCTAAAACATATAACAGGTAAGACGTCACTGAAAATGACTGTGTGTCAAGTGTGAGGAAGTCGAGGAGACTATCGAGCTATAAAGCAGATGTTAGTGCAGGTGGCCACATGCAGAGCTGGAAATGTCCTTAAAACCTGTTCTCGTTTCAGGTCCTCTCTACTTCAGTCCTAAGTGCAGGAAGCAAGTGTACAGAGTCTACCACCACACCAGAGAATGCACGATACCTGCATGTAAGCTGCAATCACACTGGTGCTCTTACACTATGAGCAGTAGGCAATGTGAGGAAGGATGTTAGCAAAATGTTAACCTGCCTCTTCATGGCCATACCGGTCACCAAAGGTCACCACAATCTGCTTCTAGGTGTTTTTTTCCTCCAACATCTATACTCAGTACACGTTGCTGCAAAAAAGTTGCTCAACGACAAGATGACGGACTCTCTCATCTGATCACTAGAGTCGTTGCATGTGAGAATAATCTTACGGAATGTTTCGTCAACAAACCAGGCAGCTGAATCCGCTAACAGATAAATGAAAAAAAGGCCTTTTCCGCTGCTCACATTTTGACCAGTCGCAGTGGGGAAACCACAGTTGTTCCAGAAAACATGAGCACCGGCTGTGTTTCACATCAAGTGTCCCAGTGAGACACGTGACTGTGAGCTGGCGTGCATGATGCCAGGACCCTGAGACTGTATACGCTTAATGAAATTCAGCCGTGTGTCATTTTGTCTTTTACACCTGTGCGATTCCTGCTGTGACGTGTCAAAACTTTTGCTTTGAAAGAGATTTTTTTTACGAGCAGGCTGCTCGTTCAATATACGACTCTCCCCCACACATCTGACAAATAGCTCCTGTGGGGTCGCACCACGTCAAACAGCATCTGTCAACCATGATGGCCGGCCAGCTTCACTTACGCCCAAGTGAATTACAGAGTTAGTTGGCTAACTTTAACTCCATCCATCAGAATTAATCTTCATTGATAGATGGAGGGTAAAAATGCACATCAAAATTAATGATATGTTCAGGAAGCCAAAACATTATATATAAATATCAGCTAATTTTCTTGACACAAATGAAAAGATCAAGCAGAGCTCAGCAGTCGGAAAGGAAGAGCTGAGGAGGCAGAGAGAAAAAGAAAGAGTATTTTCGTAAAACACATCGCCAACGTTTAGATGAACAAGTACAAATGTAGCCACACGAAAAGAATATGTTGACCTAAACTGGTCCTCCAGGGGGGGGGGGGGCTTCACCTCTGATTGGCTGTCTGCGTCTCCTACATCCTCAAGCATGATTGGCTGGAAAGACTGTCACATGAGAAGAGATGCATATTCACATGCATCATCACAACAAGAATATTTAACTATTCTGATAAACATTTAAAATTAAGTATTTGATCAATAGAAAATATCAGTCACATTCTCTTCATGCTGCATAAGAAACATTACTTAACGTTGCCATTATCAAAATGAGAGAAAGGAGAACAGACGTTTACCTGATTGTGGTTCCTGTGATTCAGTCATGACAGATCAGAGTAGTTCCAGTTCATCCTCCTCTCGTTGAACTTGTAGATGAACGCAGACTGCCGCTGTATGATGGGGAGGCAGGTTTAGCGTAAACCTGATAACATTCACACAATGTAGAACTAATTGCCATTTGTTATTACTGTAAAACCTGTATGTTTGAATGAATTGCAACATTAAGCTGATATATCATTTGCCCCTTGCTTGATAGGTTGTGTGTGTATGTGTGTGTGTGTGTGTGTGTGTGTGTGTGTGTGTGTGTACTTCTGGTCCTTCCAAACCGTGTGCAACATAAGTTGAATATGTGAGTCTAGTCTGCCTCCTCTGGGAGGTGTACATGGGTGTTCTCCCACTGGCCCACCCATCCTATTAAAGAAAGAAACCCTCAGATGATGAGGGTAGGGACAAACCACTGTGTGAAATGCAACCCCTCAGTAGACTCTCCGTGTCCTCTTCTCTTCTCAGACTTCAAAAGATGTGCGCGGCTTCTCACGCGGCTAGCTGGCAGCCTGCAGTGCACAGAGGGGTAGCATACCCAAGGTAACACGATTCATTCACCTCTGGTTCAAACATTTATGCTGTTTAACTGTTGTAGATGTGCACGTGCGCTCAAAGTGACAGTCGTGACATTGTGTGTGATACATGGACACTTGTTAATGGTTTAAGTTTCAGGTGATGAAACAGAAGCAACAGTAATAATAACGGTCATAATCAATTTTTATATATAATCCCGAAATAGTCCAAATAGAGGCCATTCTGCATAATTAGTAAGCTTGACCAATACGGGTGTTGCTGATACAGGCAGTAGGGA